CCCTTTCCTTTGTCTCTTGCTGAAATCCCCAACTTTCTACTCTTCCTTTCACAAGAAGCTTGGCCGAAATCAGCACATAAGGTTTTCTACTCTTTTCAATAACCAGCCTGATTCATATTGTGCACTCCAAAAATCCCAATTCCATAATAGCATCTGGTTTCCCTTTTTGTTGTTTACATTCTTAAAAGGTTCTTTTTATGAACAGAAGGAAGATATTTTGATTAAAGAGTACGGTTATATGAAGACTAATTTCCTACAAATCTCTGAATATTATAAAATACAATAATAAACTCCATACTCATATTGGTCTATAATCATATCAATGTTTCTGTTTTGCTCTCATTGGTCCTTATTGTATCTCACTAAGTTCCTCTTTTGAAAGGTTGTATTTCATTTAGATCTTCGGATTTAGTCCTATCATCATTACTGTTGTAAATCATCATTTACCATTATTTCCCTTCATCATATTGGAGTTTCCATTATTCCATTCTGCTAAAGACCATATCTTAAGGATGTGATGGGAGACTTACAACTCAGATACTCTATGATATAGGACTGCTTGCTTTGATGCCAAATGTAGGACTGGATTGACATTGACCCGAGGGTGCATCTAGGAGGGTAATGATAGGGTAGGAAGTGTTTAACTTTTAAGAATGGCTTTAGGACTAAGGAAAATGGTTAAGATGGGTTAAAGGCTTTGGTCAAATTGTTGAGGATTATAAACTCTCTGAGGGAAGATGAAAAATAAAAAATTTAAAAACTAAGTGTAATGATTGAAATTGTTATTGAAAAGTTGAGAGTAGGTTTGGAATGTAGAGCTGTAGGAGGCAACCAAGTTTGGAATACATTTTGCACATAAGGATGAAAAATATGCTTTTGAAGAAATCTCCGAAATTCTGAAACCTAGGAATCTACGTGGAGTTATGATATGAGATTTGTAGGACGGAAGGTTCTAAAGATCTACGAGAGGTATCAAAATATGGAGGCAATTGGAGATATTCTCGCACAAAAGGGCGAACTGTTATATTAACTCCTTGGATGGAGAATTTGTAATTTGTTAATGGCTACATGTATAAAATGACTTAAAGTTTGACTCTCTGACTCCAGTATCAGGATGCTCACTGTTAAAACTGCTATTATCATTATTGTATTAACTAATCCTGATTTTTTAATAATGTAACGGTCATTGGAATATTTTGCTGGCAGATCCTCAGTACTCGTGCTCGTAAAGGTGTGTCCATGAGTGACATAAAAATTGATGTTTGCATATTTGCCTTTGATATGCTGTACGTTAATGGGCAACCACTTCTCCAGGAGCAACTGAACATTCGTAGAGAGGTAATGCTTGGATTACATGAATTCATGTTGGTTGAAGTGCTAGGAAGTAGGAACAAATCTGGTGTTCTCTTGTTTACTCTACCAGTTTTGCAGAATAAAGGAATCTTTTATATGTCCAGTTTTATGTGTCTGTTCATGTTATATTTTTATATGATTTAATTCAATTCAAGCCTTATCTGAATCATCTAATATAGGGTTGTGATACTCTTTTTTTGCTGTTCCATTTTATTACACTTCCTAATTACAGATTGTATTTTCCTATGTATTTAACCAAATCTAATATTGACACTAATAGTACCGGAAAAATGCTTTTCAGAATATCCCCAATTATGCTATATCAAATCATTAATATGGTTTGTTTTGATTCAACAACAATAACCTCCTGCTAGTCTATATGCAATGGCAATGCTTTAGTCAGTCTAGCATATTTTCAAGCTTCCAAGATCCAATTGAGTGCTCAACTGCTCATTTGCCTAAAAGGTGACAGTGACACCTATGCATTCCCTTCTACCTCTAGTGGATTATATGATAGATTAAAGCACTGAACCTTTCTAGATGAGATGTTTCATGAATTAATCTCATAAAACTATCATTGATGATTTAATAAATTAAATCATTAAATATTTGCAGATATAAGTATATAACCAGCAAATCTGGATTTTAGTTGGCAAATCTATAAATATTCAGCTTAACATGGCTAAATCTGGTTAACAAATTAGATTCTAACATATTGGCAAATATAACCAGATAATAACCTGGCTTTAGATCCATGAATATTCAGCTCAACATGGCCTCAGGGTCAGGGAGGGGAAACTTGAAACAATATTTTTTTTTTTGATAAATATTGAGTAATAAGTCGACATGTCTTTAGACGCTGGACATATCCAATGAGAATTGAAGTTAAGATGACTCTCCTTATGGTACCTATAAGACTATAGCTACAAGTAGCCAAAGTTTGTCCTCCCTGGTCAGGGAGGGAAAACTTGAAACAATATATATATATATATATATATATAAATATGGAGTAACAAGTCAACATGTCTTTAGACGCTGGACATATCCGATGAGAATTGAAGTTAAGATGATTCTCCTTACGGTACCTATAAGACTATAGCTACAAGCAGCTAAAGTTTGTCCTCCCTCCGTGTTACCATCTGTGTAGGATAGTGATTGGTTGACCTTGATGACATTGTCTTGATTTTCATGCGTTAGTCGACAAACGTAATTATGAAGAGGTCATGGGACAGAATTGGTTACGTCTAGCTTATGAAATCTCATATAGTTGTTGCCTTGGAGGGAACATGCAGATGAGCTGCAAAGTGAACATGATGGTCAAAGGGAAAATAGAGAGGCAGTTGGAATTTTTGTTATCAACTTTTAAGAATTTTCAGGCGGTTCAAGCTTGAGCATTTTGTTAGACATTGGGAGCAAATGATTTTGTTTCTTTTTTTGTTTTATCACACATACATGGTTCTATCTCGTTAGTCATGTAAAGCCATGCATCAATTGTCGGTTTTGACATAATTCAATTCTTATATCTTAATTATAAAAAATGCTGATGATATTACATCTGGAAAATTTTTTGATATTAAATGGTGATATAGAACTTTGAGACATGAGGTCTGGTTTATCACTTAAATATTCAATTATTCCTCTACAAGAATTAGGGATATGTAATGTTTATATGACCTCATTTAATATTTTGATCATTTTATCGAAAATAATTTCTTTTACGTGCTTGAGTTGGAAAGGTAATATATATATTTCTGGTTTAGTGCAGCATCTTTATAATTCATTTGAGGAAGAACCAGGAGTATTTCAATTTGCAACAACAATTACTTCGAATGACCTTGAGGAAATACAAAAGTTTCTTGAAAATGCTGTTAATTCCAGGTATTTTGACATGCATTTTGTGTGTTGTCTGGGTGAAAATGAAATATGATATATGAACTTCATTCCAAGTAACTGCTTGCATTTTGTGTTTAGCTGCATCTCATTGTGTTAGATAACAAGGCAGTGGAAAGTTATTCTAATATTGATTTTTGATATTTCTTTTGTTCTTTTAGAATAGATAGCTCACTCATGAACTCTGATTCATCAATTCATTTGATTGGCTTGAATATCTGCCTTTTTACTTCTTAATCTGTTTCTTAACGCACAAAATGCCCTTTTGTTTTGTATCAGGCCTTCATATAATGTTATCTTACAGACTAAAAATTTAACAAAATATAAACATCAAAGAAAAAACTAGGTTTGAATGGGTTTAGAGCCATCTCATATCTCATTGATTCAGATCTTTAGGTAGATCCATTTAATTTTAGATAGTCTAGTTGTTCAATATTCATGATGTGGTTACTTGGATGACTAAGCATCGAACGGGTAGAGTAGTCCACCTGGTCAACAACAAATTTATTTTACATATATATTTTTTCTTGTTTGTGTTTATCTCTAAGTTTAATTAATATAATATATGCTTTTATTTTTGTTGCATGCATGTTGTTGCTTTAGGTATTTGCTCTCTTTCTTTAAAACCAAAGGTTGTAACTCCCTATCCTAGTCAATCCAGCCTTTTTTATGTTTTGCAAAATTGACTGTAAATGTGTTCTTATCATTCTTTTATTGCATATTAGCAACCTAGATCAACTTATTTATGATATCACCATCAATATTTACAGTTTATAACATAATTTTCTTTTGGTCGACTTATCAACACCTATGCACCAACTAGTCATCACATTATCTAGAGAGGCCAAGAGGACTATCACTACATTGTGTTGATAACATTGCCCAACCATATTGCTGAACTACATATTGTAAAAAATGGTGCTGCTGTTGTAGTCAGAGAAAGATGTGCTTGCACTACTTTATGTTGGCAGCAGTGGGATATTATGCTTTTTAAACAAGAGGCACCATGAGAAACAATGAAGTATTATTTATTAAAAGTGCTTCATGTATCAACTTCATATGATATTGAGCTTTTACAGTGTAGAATGACACAACGAAAATAATCATGGAATCTATCTAGTAACAAGGTTTTCCTTTTTATTTATTAGCATCTCAGCTTAATTGTCATTTTTGTAGTGGGCAATCATGCCTTTTAAGCCATTAATTTGTCTTTGCAGTTGTGAAGGACTGATTGTCAAAACTCTAAGTAGAGATGCCACATATGAGCCTTCAAAACGGTCGCATAATTGGCTGAAATTGAAGAAAGATTATATGGACAGGTAAAAAAGTTCAGTCTCACTTTCTTATCTAAATGCTTTCATGATTCCACATGTCATTTTCTTTCTTTATGCTGTGCTTTTCCTCAAAACATTTTTGTAACACCAACTCCGTTCTACAGTGTTGGCGACTCATTAGATTTAGTACCAATTGCAGCATTTCATGGTCGTGGAAAACGTACAGGTAATCACCACAAAAAAGCATCCTCTGGGTATACAATATGTAAATTTGGGTCACTCTTCGGTTCTTTATGCACCTACTCTATTTCTCCCATGTGGAGAGATCATGAGACAATCTAACCATCTATCAGATAGGGCAAAAGTGGCCATTCTTTGATTCCCCAGGTTGACATATGCTCTATATCCACCATTTATTAGATCTTCCTCCAATTAATGTTAGGTGCCCAGAAGGCATAGTTTGAACAGTTTTCGAGGGCTTCTGGCTGAAACTTTCCCTGTGAATATAAGGTGGGATGAGGGCAAATGAGGCCCTTTATGCTCCAACTCTGCCTTCATTTATAAGACTTGCTTAGTGTGTTTTCCCTCTTCTGAACCACTTTGTTAGCAAATCCTTGGCTCCTTGCTAGATTATACTGGATAATCTGCATCTTCCAGCCATATGGATGAATGGTGCGGGAAACGGTTTTTAGAAAACCGGGCCAGACCGGACCGGTTGAACCGTGACCCAGGACCTTGGCCGCTTTGGTCATACCCCAATAACTGCACTTGATAAGAAACGATGAAAACTGGCTGACCGATCGGTTTAAGTGGAAAATCGGTAATTGGTCATGGTTTTGTGAATCCGCCTGGGTCCTTAACAAGTGAAATTTTAAAATGTGTTTAGTAAGACTTGAACCCATGATCTCTAATTTCCATATATTGCTTGATTACCATTAGTCCACTTCTTTACTTGTGTTAATTAATGACTCCTTATTGTACATATTAATTAATTTATTATACACGTATTTTAAAGAAAATGTGAATTAAGAGACTTGAACCCTAGTCATTTGGTTTAAAAACTAAGGAACTTGCCATCTATCTACCATATTTAAATATATTAAAAGTTATAAAATATATTATATATAAATAGTATTTATATGACCTGTAGTATATATATGTATATGCCACGTCATTACAGTTCGACCTTCGGTTGGTCCCTGGTTGAACTTCTGACCCGTGAACCTCTCCCTTCTCCGGTTCTGTGCCCAGTCCGGTTTTCTGAACATTGGTGGGAAACTTGGAATTCGCACTGTCCATCAGTAGGGGATCCTCTATATTTTTGATTTGTGAACATGTTCCTTATGTCCACCCAATTTCTGTTCTGTATCCCATTTTGTGGTGGATTCTCTCTTCCTGAGTAACAGAAACTCTTGAAAGTTCTTGAACTTTTACACCAGAAAAGTGGCTCTTCTGCCAAAGGGCAGTGGCTAGTGGTCTGAAAGATAAAACATTAACAGATAAGGATCTATTTACATGTGTAAGGTCCTGTGTGGTATAGAGCTCTTTTCTACATAAATGATCTTGTAGATTTGTTTCCTATATATCAAGGCTCGTTTTATAGCCATAGCATAACTGAATTTCCATTGGATATTGGTTTCTCATCTAGCAGCTTAGATGGTTGAATGAAAGGGTTCATGTGTTAAGCCACCTTACCCGTTTCACTTGCCAGGCTGCAGTGATCAATGCAGCCTGTAATTCACAGTTAAAATATCTAAGATATGTAGCTGGTGTAGACCAGAAAACTGTTCATGTGATCAATGCAGGGATTCTCATATCAGATGGATGGTTTCATTGGTTATGCTTTTTTTTTATTGCCCACAATGGTTCTCTCCATGGGAGAAAAATCCCTGTAAGATGAAAGGGCTGTTTCTCCCAGCAGAATAGCTTTTACCTTTTTCAAGCTTAACAGGCCCAGTTCCGTTATTTAGCTATGCTTTGACACGGAACTTGGTTGATTGAATTTGGTATTTCACTTAATTGATTACAGTATAAAATGTTGTACAATCTCACCTCTTTTTTTGTGAAACAGAATTAGCTTACTAATCTTTCGTTTCGTGAATACATTATTTTGGTGATTTAACATTATTTATTGTGCAGGTGTTTATGGTGCCTTCCTCCTTGCTTGTTATGATGACTCAAAAGAAGAATTTCAAAGTATTTGCAAAATAGGTAAACAATTTAACTTTTCCTGCAGTTTGTTTCATGGTTGAGTTTCTAAATCCAATATTAGCACATCCATAGCTGTTCTGGCAAATTGATTTCTGCTTGGAGTTTGTTTATTGCTCTGTAGGCACTGGATTTTCTGAGGCAACACTTGAAGAGTGTTCTCGCAGACTTCTTCCAAAAGTGATCCCAAAACCAAAGGTTATTAGCTTTTTTTCTTTGAAGGGAAATAACTAGGAAATAATACATATTTGGAGTTTCCATATGGTTTTAGAAGCTAATCCTCTTTCTATTTTATTTCCAGCCATATTATCGGCATACAGATACAGTTAATCCAGATGTATGGTTTGAACCATCTGAGGTGCTTACCATCTCCTTATCTTTACATGGATAGTTACTTTCCATGTCATTCTGTCCTGGTGGTTTTATTTTTCATTTCCATATGCACTTTCTTAGTCAGTTGATCATATATGCTCTTCTTTGTTTCTACTGGTGGAGCTCAAGTTCTAAATGTATGAATATTGTACAAGTTAAATAAAATAGGAAAAGGCCTGAACCGACATGAAAGAGACAAATTAGAGTAAAATATTTAAACAAGCCTGGTACTTAGCATGGTCCATGCAACTCATAGAGTAACTTAGTTGTTTGAAATTCTGTGTAACTGTATATATATTTTTTCTCTAATTTTTTGGCTTGATATTTGCACCAAGTTGTAGCTTTTGCTCTTATTATAGGCTGCTTCTACTTCCTTCCATTCCGATGATTATTAAGCAATTTGCTAAATTTAAATTGAGGAAAGAGAATTCCATGCGCGGAATTTAGTTTTCCAAAATACAGACAAGTTCTCTTGCCAGCAAAGCCTTTCTTGGCCTTACTTATTAAGAGGCAGGTGAAGTAGGTCTCCTGGCCCAACTGACCTCTATTGTGGCAGTTTTGGTATGCCCTAATTAGGTTAGGTTGGGATGGGTTGGGAGAATTAAACATCTGTATATAGTTTAGGCTATAAGCCTATGACAATGTGTGTGTGGGGTGGGGATTGTATACCTCCTACCTTGGTGAGACTTTTGCCCTGATCTACCGAAGGGCAGTGTGGTTTAGTTTTTTCCATGTATTCAAAATTCAACTGATCTGTACTTGAAATCCATTGCTATAGTTTGGCCACCAGGCTAGTCTGTAGGATTTTCTCTTAATTGTCTGTCTGCAGGGTTATTTTGGGGGAAAAGGTTTGAATCCAAGAAAACTTTTTGATGGTAAAAAGAAAAATGCCTCTTATAAAAGTTTTGTCATTTGAACAACTAAGAATAATTTCTCAGGATTAGAATTTTCATATACATACATGGATGTATTGGTCTGTTGCTTTATAGTCTTAGAAACCACTGCATGCAGAAACTGTATTTCCAACTAAGCTATAGTCTTTTCTACAAAGCATTACTCTGACCTTTGTTGAATATTTGGATTCTGTGAACATGAAACAGGCTGGTGTAGTGCTACTTGCTTTGTATAGAACCATCGGATGTAAAAAATTCGTTCTTTATATTGATCATATGTTTAAGAAAGAGTCACTGTGCTTCTTTCACATATATCATGTATTCACTTGCAGTTTTCATTTTCTTTTTGCACTCAGGTTTGGGAGGTGAAAGCGGCAGATTTGACTATTAGTCCTGTTTATTGTGCTGCAACTGGTGTGGTAGATCCTAACAAGGTTAGGTGTTTGATATTTATGGGGATATTTGTATTTCTGTTCTTCAGTTCAAGTGTTAGAAAAATGTTCACTACACATTTTTCCTGTATTTAATTTCATTCTATTGCAACAGGGCATCTCTCTCCGTTTTCCACGTCTGATTCGAATCCGAGAAGACAAGAACCCAGAACAGGCCACATCCTCTGATCAGGTGAGACAGATGCCCTTTTTGTTTGATAAATGTATGTTTGCTACAGATGGATCTTATCATATTTTTGGGTGTTTGGGTTTTAATAGGTAGCTGAGATGTATAATGCTCAAAAGAGCAACCACTCTAATAATCACGATGAAGATGAAGATTATTGAATATAAAGAGAATTGAAGTATCTTAGAATTGGCAGTTATTATCTGAGCCCAGGACTGCAACTCTTATGATCTGTATGGGTAATGATGATGCAATTTTCTTTGGGTTATATTGTATATATACAAATTTTAACACAACTGCCAGGCTAATCAACGGGATTTTGCTTCGGAGTATTGGATGGGCATTCTCGCAGTGACAGTCCTTGGATTGAATGGCCAATCTCAATTAAACGTTAGCAAGCCAAGCCCTTTGATATTGGAGGAAATATTTGTAAAGCATGGCTATACCTACTAATATAGCCAATTCACAGCCTAAATTCCAATGAATTTATCTGGTCTCTGATTCTTCGTACTGATTTTATTTGCCATCCCCGTCTTGCTCAAGTAGTTTAGTTACATTTATTTATTTTTTCTATGTTTTAACTGTTTGGGTTGGTTTTGACACTCTTGACATCTTCAAGCCACATTGTGTAGGGCGTCGTAGAGTTATTGTCGCAAGTGTCAATTCTCTTTTTAAAATTTTAGAAGAGGCAGTTACAGAGAGATCGAGGCGAGCACCTAGATTTCTTACTGAAGTGAGGCAAGAGTAGGGTGGTTGTTTGCGTGTCCTTGGAAGTGAGAACTACACGCGAGACAGCCAAATACGCAAAATGTACCTTGGTGTTCCTGTACTTGTGGCTTGTAAAGTTGCTCTCTCTCTCTCTCTCAACAGGTGTTGAACCATATATAAGAGTTTGGAACTATTTCTTTCCCAACCTACAAGTCCACGTCGATATGGACCATATCCGAAAGGGCGACGGTAATAATAAGGTTTTAAAAGCTGACACCGGAAATGGAACAACTTTCGCCACTGGCTTCTGGGTCAGGGGTTCAACCGTCCGGGTTGAACGGTTCAAACCGTTGAGTTTAAATGTATAATAATGTATTTTATATTTTAGCTAAATTAGAATATTACACTGTGTTTGGTTTGAAGGAAAATGTAGGGAAAGGTAAAGAAATCTTTACAAATGCTCTATTTACATTGTTCCGTTTATAAACCTGGCTCAGTTTGGAAGGAGTACAAATGTAAATATGTAGAGTGCAAAACCTTTATATTTTGTATGTATTTGCACAGTACCTATTTGCATTTGTACTCTTTCCAAACCCAGCCATATGTGGTAGCTCCTAAAGTAGACGGCCTTCTACTCCTAGTCGTAGTTAAATGCTTAAATGTGCAAACTATTAAGGTTGGAATCCTCTGATTGATTGATCTACATTTAGCTCCAATTTGGCTATTAATGCCGATTCCCGTAATGTTCTGAACGGTCAGTATTATAGTATGGGCATGGAAAAAAGGTTATTCAATCTTGTCATAATGTGCCCCGACTTCCCCTGAGATGCAATGGCCAATGGAGGTTGGAGGGTTCTATTGCCCGTGTTCCGCGTGAGATTCGTCGTTGATGGGGGTAACTGGGGGCCATTGAGAGACTGAAATATATTCTAGTCTCCACTCTCCTCCAGCATGTGCACCGTATTAAAATTTTACAACAGTCAACAGAGTAAGAGAGCTGTGAATGTTTCTATGATGTTTCTCTATTTGACTTGATCGAGCCCTGTGCTGTGACTACTACTACGATACCTCATCTATCTTGTCATGGTGGGGTATCATCCATGTCTCTATATTTATATATGAAGTAGTGGGACTTGAGAGCCCATCGACAAGAATTAGCAGTTGATCGGCATGCCCACTGCATCATCATGTAGGTGGATGCATGTGGGCGGAAATCCACATTTGAGTATTGGTTCGGCGCCTAATCTTCCAAATCAAAAGTAGACCAAAATTGCCATCTTAAATGCTTTAAGTTAACCCCCTTCAAGGCTTTAACCCAATTCTGTAAATATAATTTCTTTGATTTCCTCTTTCTTCATTGTTTAGGTAGGTTATAGTGGAGAATGTGTTGGAGGAGGTTCTATGCTTGTATTTTCATCTTTATCTTCATAGTTATCGCTCTACTTTTGAATACATAAAAATATAACAAAATTTAACACCAGTGGGATTATATAGAGATTAAAGTTGATAGAATACTACAAATTACTGCTAACTGTTTACCATGGTGATGGTGATCTTGATTTGGAGTTTTGGACTTGATTTGAACGCCAAGGGGCCCATTCCTACCCGACAGGGGCTACTGGTTGTTGGCTGCCCTTGCTCCCAACTTCCATTCTCAACCACTCTGCCCATCATCTACATATATACTACAAATTAATCAAGATGGATTGTGGAGAATTCGAACCCCAATCACATCAGAAAAAAATGCCAATTTGACAAAAGAAGAGAGACAAAAATCTCCATCAACACACAGGCAGAAATCTAGGAACTCTCTCTCTCTCTCTCTCTCTTTCAGTCTGGAAGCATAGCTTCTTCTCCACTCTCCAGACAAATTACTCCCTACTGTACATATATCGCTCAATTCCTCCAAATTAAAGTTTGATACTGATAAATAAAAGTTGCTAAAAGTAGATAACGATGAAAGTGTCAATACAGAACCCTCTGGTATTTGGTGGAAGAATCAGAGCCTTCACTGTTCACTATACCTCTTTTCCTTCTGTTAACAATACTACCACAACTGTTGTCACCGATGCCGTTGATAAAAGAATCCTGGTGCAGGAGAGCAGGTGGTGGTGAAGGAATGGTCACCGGTGGGATCTCAAGGGCGTCAAGCGGAGGAGGGGGATGTCGCCACTGAGGGAGAGGTCCGGCCAGGAGAAGCGTTTGAAGTAGAGGCCCAGCTTTCATCACCGCCTGTAAAAGCTTCCCCTTCTCCGGCAATGGTCTATCTGGTTCTAATTGTATTGTCGTTACCGTTGTTGTCGCTGTTGTTGGTGGTGGTGGCGGCAATGGTGGAGGTGGGATGGAGTCCATCACCGGTGATGATACGATGCTTTCTTCGCAGTCTGAAGAGGATATGCCGGTATTGGAGTCTACCCCTCTTCTGGCCTCATCTTCAATGCTAGAGACTCCAGAGAGAGGAGTTGTTTGTTGGGGTTGGTGGTAATGTTGCTGTTGCTGCTGTTGGAGGATCAAGAGCTTCTCCACAACTAGTCTCTGATATTTGTCTCGGGCATCGTCTCTCTCCCTGATGGCTCTGCATAGAAGACCTTTGAGATGGATCACTTGATCTTCTCTCTTCCTTATCTCCTCCTGAGCTGTTAGTCTTGTTGTTTCTAGCTCAAGAGTGGTGTATAAGAGAGAATGCTTCAGCTCCTCCATGGTCTGTATAATTACAACAACAACAAAAAAGAACACAGTTCATCAAGAATAAGCTAACTAATTAAGCCATGTAACCTCCAAAAAGAAACACTGGACAGGACCCCATAAAAGGAACCGGTCAAGAAACTCTGTTAGATCCTACACAAAGAAAACCCATTAATCCCCCTAAACAAGAAGACAGAATGCAAGAGACAGTAATAGACCCAGATGAGATTTTTACCTTTCCTTGTAGGAAATAACTCCAGCTAAGGCCAAGAGGAGCGCTACGTTGGCTGTCCATGAGCTTGTTATGAACTGAAACCAACAATCACTGTAACAGGAAACAAGAGTGAGGTGGGGAAGGAGCAGCGTCGTTTGGCCTGGTTCTCCGCCTCTTATAACAACAACTGACTAGCTTCTATCCTCTTTTTTTATTTTTTTTTACTCTTTCTTTGTTTGCTACATTGCTTTGATTTTCTTTATTTTTGAATTTTATGAGAACGACAAATCATAAAAGGCCAAATGACAACAGCAACAGCATCCACTTGTCTTTCTCTCTCTCTCTCACTCACTCACTCACTCTAAGCCAACACCAACAGACACATAGGAACTGTGACTCTGTATCTCTGAAGCGGGAATGAGAGACCGGCGACAAAAGCGGGAGCTAAACCACCCCTCTTATCTTAATATTATACACGAGTCGTTCTCTTTCCCTGTTTCTTTTGATTCTTTTATAACTATACTGCGTAGCTACTTTATAGTAAGCATGAAGAATACGGGTAATGTCTACTTGCTGCTTTGAGAGTTGAAATTTGCAGGCGTTTTTGTTGTTTCTGGTTAAGATGGTGTTTCTTACTGCAGTAAGTATTCGTGATTCTCTGTATCTATGCTACACGAAGAGACCCATGTGAGATCTTTCTTGATTTGAAGGGCCAAAACCATTCTGATCCATACATTTTTCACTGATTACAGTTTGTGCTAGGTTTTGTTTAATTTGGAAGATTCGAAACCAGGTAGCTAGATCGTATCAAATGGTTGGTCACAAAATCTTGCAGGCGCCTAACATTCTGATCATAGGATATATAGCTTATCCAAATTCTCTCTCTCTCTCTGAGACATATACACAAACAGACAAGCGCCTAACATGGAGATGTATAGTCAATAAGCTCTACTTTATTTTGTGTTTTTAATTAGTCAGAGAAGGGAGCTGGTAGGGAACCGAAATTTTGTAAAGAAGTGAGTGGTAGGGTCATCATGGACCCCCTTTTTAACAATAAAGTATTGCAGAGTAGAAAGAAGAATGCTTACATTTGACCAATTCATGACTCACGACATTTCTTACATCTTAATAAAAAACGAGTTTATAATTTGTATTAATAAAATAGTTTTTTTTTTTTTTTTTCTCTTTTGTTTTGTTTTATGTATCAAGTTGTAGGTCTTAGCTAGTTGGATCGTATCTTGCCTTCACTTAGGTAGTTTGCTCTTTATTTTATAAACCTTGAAGAATATTTTAGGCCAAAAGCCACTTATACAATCCATATTTATTCTGAAATTTCTCTTTTTCACTGTGTGTTTTTCATATTTTATTTGCGTTTAATTAGAAAAAGGAATATCTTGCTTTGTTTCTTTCTTATGTCATTCTCTCTTTTCCTCTTTTCCTTTTAGGAAGGTATCTATTATTTTCTTTGGTTCATCAAACCAATAAACAGTCGGTGCAACTCATGCCAAACCTTGTATAATAAAGAGGTAGCCAATGGTGTGGTTTAGAAAACAAGTTAATAAGGTAGTTTTTTTTCATTAACATGTACCGACTTCTTTTTATAAAACTTAATTTTCAATTTTCTAATCAGGTGGATGGTGAAGATGTTCCTGGTATGATCTTCGTAGAAGATCTTTTAGATGGGACTTGTCCAACAGCTTTAATTGCTATGTTGCAGACATACAATGTAGCGAGCTATACGGCCTCCTAATCCAAGTTGTTCCCATGATGAACACTTTTCTCAGTGAATGAGATTAAAACACGGGGTCTTTTGGTTTACGGTCGGAACTGGAATCGAAATTCTCTGAAATCGGAATCGAATCAAAATGATCCATTTCCATTGTCTATTTGATTCAGATAGGAATGGGAATGAGAGTTGAAATCAGCAGGAATGAGATTTCATTCCCAAGAGAGAGACAGAAAATGAGGAAATGGCATTCCAACAGAAATGAAATTGGGATTCCGAATCCATCCAACCAAATATTCAAACCCCTATTTCCACAAACCAAATGGAGTCTAAATTGGTATTATATAATTTTTATGACCCGCACCAAAACCAAGACGAATATCCAATTTAAATTTTTATATATAATAATTTGAAACACCCCATCACTTTTTGGACTATCGATAAAATTTAATTCCAGTGTTTTTAAGATTAGAATGACATCCCTCCATTCAGGTCCATTCTTTGAACCAGAATTCTAAAAATAGGCCCATCCGTTCACTCAAATGGAGTTGTTGGCGGAGCAACTGTTAGTGGATTGTGAGATAAGTGAACATGAAATATGAAATAGGGGAGGGGAATTAATAAACAAAGGGTATTTTTATCATATGGGTATTATTTAGTAGAGTAGATTACTTGGTCAAGGTTAGTTTTATCAAAAATAACACATGTTGACTATTTCTGTTATGATCATTGACGTTGACTTGATGGAGGGTATGTATATAAAATTATTATAAATAAAAGTTTGTGAGGGCTAGGTGTACAATGTCATAAAAGTGAAGGGTGTTTTTCCTTATTATTATTGTTGTTTAATTTGTTTGGTTGATTAACTATTAAACAAGTATTAATTAGATGCAGCAGACAAAATCCCCACTGTCAGCTGGTTGGTTGGATTCTTAAAGATTCTTTTGGGATTGTGATCCAAGTTGCGAGTATAGAACAAATTCCATTGTAGTATAACATGTGAGTTTATATGCTTGATTGCACATGGGAAATAGCTTATTATTGTTGTTTATTTGTTTGGTTGATTGGTTGTAATTGAAATTTGGGCAGAGTTTGATAAGAGTGTAAAAAGTAAATGCACCAAGAATTGTTAGGGTGAATGACGGTTCAGTTCAGTGTCAGAATTCTTAGGCCGAATGTACAGTTGGAGTAGGTGTCAATTCGGAGTTGATGCTAATTTACGGACTGGCATCGATATATAAAATTGGGGTATTTGACATTTTAATTTTTTATAGGTCTGTAATGAAATTCAAAATTCTGCATTGAGCTACAAACGTACTTCTCCATTTAAATTATGAATAGAAATCAGTTGAAAAGATACTCACATTTTCAGTACAAAAACTGCTTTTATAAGCGAAGCCTTCCTTGGGTGTATTTGTTATTGTTTTCTCATCAATAAATAATGGAGTATGTATTCATATTAGCATTTCCACAGGAATGTTTTCATTGTGAAAGATGTGATCGATTTGTGAGCTTAAGCTCTTGGGAGTTACGTACCCATTAACAGAAACGGACTAGATTTTAATTTCCTGGGCAAAGATTGGATAAGAGAGGGTATTTAAGTTCTGGTAATTGCCTATTCACACTCAAAAGCTCAATGAATTGAAAATGGGCAATGCATGATAGGTGAGTTATATTTAAATGAAGAGTTCGACTATGATATGGAAAAGATATGATATCCGAAAAATAAAATCATAAACGTGGAAGCAAATCAGGTGGTATTTATCAAAATTCATGAAAGAATTTTGATTGGTCAAAACTCTTTTCATATCATACATCTTTTCCGCATCATAGATTTTCTCTTAAATGATATCATGACAATTAACTCGCATTATTCAACATTTCAACAAAATATTTTGGCTTGACCAGGAGTTGTATCCTATAGAAGAATTTTCCTTGGTTTTCATCAAAAGAGCCTAAGACTTATGGTGTAATGGCTCATAGGCTTCATCAATGTGCTCAAGCAACTTCTGAATTGGTTAAGAATATTATATCAAATGGTGAAGCTGACTCTGGGATAAAATGATCTCTGTAAGAAAACTTAGTATAAGGATCAAATTAGAAAAAAACTTTTGGTCCTTTTAAATTGTAGGTATAATCTCTTTTAAGGGTGGATGTTGAATCCAGGCCGCCTTGTTTTTATCTAAATTTTTGAATGCTTGATGTGGTGGTTTTAAATCCATTGTGAAAAGGTGATTGTACCTGGCCAAAGTTCTCTCAAACCATTATATATGATGTTCCATTTAATAGGATTTTCAGATCAGTTAACACTAGATGCAAGATTAAATACATTGAATTCAACAGATTCACAAAACCTGACCATATTAAGTGAGTCCAACAATCACATTAATGATATCATATGGTATATTTAATTTTCATTGGTTCATGTTTTATTATATATATATATTCACAAGGTATACTTGTCAATGAAAACTTTAACATTAAAGACTCCAAGGATAGATTGTATTTCTATAAATTGAAATATTTCACTAGAAAAAAAATTGTTTTTTTGCCCCCTTTGATTTATTTTGATGTGAATTAATTTAAAAAGGAAACAAAGCTTAAATTCATCATAAAAGGGGAAGATATAGTTCAAATATTTAATTATGTACATAAAATCTAGGTCCAAAGCTGGCTAAAAGACATGTGGCATTCTAGAGAAATATTTCAAAGAAAAGGGGAATCTACTTTATATAGTATCCATTAGACACCTCTTAGAAGAGACCCCGGAAATACCTGATATATGTTGAATAGGTGGAGTGGGTTTTGAGTTTCATGGGGTTTAGATTAATGTTTATCACATAACCAGATTTGTTGTTTTATCATGTTTCATATAAAATAGTTAACCTCATTTAATATTTGAATTTTTCACCAAAATGTTTTTATTTTCTCCTTTTAACTTCTTTTAGTCCCACATGGAAAAAGATTGTGCATAATAGAGAATAAATTACTATTTGAAATGCAACTTAACATATAATTAACATTTTTACAATTGATTAAGCCACTGTTACAGCTGAGACACCTTAAGTGCTTGTTTAGGAGGGTTTATGTTTGGTGAAAAACCTGAAATGCCCAAAACATTTTCATTGAATCAAGAAAGTGACTTTTCCGAGAAATTATTTTTAGTAACTTCTTTCAATGTGGTTCAATGAAAATAATTCATCAAAACTGAAGCCCTCCCAAACAGGTTATAAGTTGTTGGTTGTAATAAGATTACATTTTACCTTTCTTGGTAGGGATGTGCCAGTTTCGATTCAGAACAAGATTGTCTCAACCCGAATCCAATCCAACCTCCTGTCCCATTTCATGATAGTATACCTACACTCGACAAATCTTATAATTAAGGTTTTCGAACTGTTGTTGATCCGAACGATCAGACTGTTTATCTGGGGAATCGTTTATGCAATCGATTTCGTTTTATCAAAAATTCGGTTTTGATTAAAAATTATTGAAAAATTAATAACCCTTGACCATTGATCCATCGACCCGTTTAATGGTTTTGATCATTTTTATTTTTTTTTTTTATTTTATTCTTCATAACAGACCATTCATTCAAACCGGATGGTCAGACCATTAACTCAGAAACCAATGGCCAGAATGATTCCATTTCTGAATTATTTTTTAAAACATTGTTTATAATAATTCGATGCT